TAAAATTTCTTGCAGAGCTGGTTTGGAGGTCACATATTCTTTCAGTTCCTGCCTATCTTGAAAGCTCTTTATCTCTCCTTCCATTCTGAATGAGAGCCTTGCTGGATAAAGTATTCTTGGTTGCATGTTTTTCTCATTTAGGACCCTGAATATTGTTGGGGCCAGGCGGGAAGGGAAACTCCTCAAGATGGCGCATACCCCAAAATGGCTGAGGTTCCTGTCACCACCTCCACTTGGGACGCCAATGGACCAATGACCTGCTGACAGCTTGATGAAGACCCTTACACCTCTCCTTTGGACTTCCTCAACTGAACCCAATGCCCTTCAAACCCCAGAGGAGGAAGTCACCTTTGACTGATCGAATTGCAATCCTTCTTTTGCATAGTGAGGGTCACTCTGACTGGTTGGATTGCAATCCTTCCTTTGCATATGAGCCAACCAATAGGAAACCTTTCTGCCTTACAACGTTATGTAAACCCCCTACCACCTTGTCTTGGCGCGACTTCCCCGACTCACTCTCTTTCCCCCCGTGAGTCGAGTCGTGGAACCTCGCCCGAGGGTGCCTGCAATAAAATCTGTTCTTGGACCCTCGCTTGCCTTGGCGGTCTCATTTCCATTTAGTTACTAAAAAAATCAAGAAATATATCCTGCCAGCCCTTTCTGGCCTGCCAGGTCTCTGTGGAGAGGTCTGCTGTTACCCTAATACTCCTCCCCATAAAAGTCAGGGATTTCTTGTCTCTTGCTGCTTTAAGTATCTTCTCTTTATCTTTGGAATTTGCAAGCTTAACTATTAGATGTCGAGGTGTTAAACGGTTTTTATTGATTTTGGGGGGGATCTCTCTATTTCCTGGATCTGAATGCCTGTTTCCCTTCCCAGATTAGGAAAATTTTCAGCTATGATTTGTTGAAATACATATTCTGGCCCTCTGTCCCTTTCAGCGCCCTCGGGAACCCCAATTAAACGTAGGTTTTTCTTCCTCAGGCTGTCATTTATTTCCCTTAATCTATCCTCATTGTCTTTTAATTGTTTGTCTCTTTTTCCCTCAGTTTCCTTCTTTGCCATCAACTTGTCTTCTATGTCACTCACTTGTTCTTCCACCTTGTTAACCCTCGTCATTAGGACTTCTTTGGATTGCATCTCATTCAATTGATTTTTAATTTCTGCCTGATTGGATCTAAATTCTGCAGTCATGAATTCTCTTGAGCCCTTTATGCTTTTTTCTAGAGCCACCAGTAATAGCACTTTAGAGCTATTTATAGAGCACTTTATAATAGTGCTTCTGAATTGGCTTTCTGACATTGAATTGTAATCCAGATTTTGTAACTCTGTGGGAGAGAGGGCTGTTTCTGATTCTTTCTTTTGAGGTGAGGTTTTCCTTCTAGTCATTTTGCTCAGTGCAGAGTGGCCAAAAACAAGTTGTATTGGGAAAAGGAGAAAAAGAGAGGAGAGAAAGAAGGAAAGAAAAGAGAAAAAGAAAAAAGAAAAAAGGAAGAAAAAAGAGAAGAAAAAGAAAGAAAAAGAAAGAAAGGAAAAAAAGGGGTGGGGGAAACAGAAATCTAAAAGCAAAACAAAACAAACAAAAAAGACAGGGGGGAGTATCCTCTGATTCTGTATACTGTAAGCCCCTTGACTTCCCCTGGAACTTTCCAGTGCTGCTTGGTCACTAATTTGTTTTTCCCTTGTCTGTCTAGCTGGTCTTCTGGGGGAGGGGCTTGTTGTGCTGATTTTCAGGTGTTAGCACTTGGGGGAGCTGTTCTGCCTCCTGCCTGGTGCAGGGCTCAGTGGGGGTTGTTTACCCCGTGAGGCCCCAGGAGGAACAACCACAGTGGCGGCAGCCAGCTCTGGAGCCCTGGAGTCAGCTCCCGCAGTAACTGTGAAGCTCTCAGCCTGCAGGGGCCTGGATGCTCCGGGGGTGCGGCCGCTGATGTGCTCAGCTTGGGGCAGGAGCGTCCTTGCGGTCCTGGGCCCTCCTGGCCTCTGCCTGTCCCGGGGGGAGGCCGGATCCTGGGCTGTGTCCCCAGCGCCGTGTGCTCCCCGGCCTGTACGGTTGGATTCGTGCTCCCGGCCGTGCAGCCCCCTCCACGGAGCCGCCGCCCGAGCCCCTCCGAGCTGCTCCCAGGTCAAGCCATGCGCGCTGCAGCCCTTTAGGGAGCTTGGCTCACTCTCCTCGGGGCGCAGGCGTCTGTTAGTGTCCCAGGGAGCCTGAGGGCATCCCCGCCCTCCTGGGGTCCTGCTCTAACTCCCTGTGGGCCCCTTTCTGTCCGGGAAGATTGGTGAAGCTCCTGCTTCTCCGGGACGGGGCTTTCCTGTCCTGGGGGCCCTCGCCCCGCCTTAGTCCGGCTCCTCGCGGGGCACCTCCTCCTTGGATGCCTTTTGTTTCTTTATTTCTTTTTTCCCCGTCTTTCTACCTTGATAGAAGTGTGAACTCTTCTCACTGTAGCATTCCAGCTGTTCTCTCTTTAAATCTCAGGCCGAATTCATAGATTTTCAGGATGATTTGAAGGTTATCTAGGTAATTTGGTGGGGACAGGTGACTTGGGGACCCTACTCTTCTGCCATCTTGCCCCTCCTCCAAGAAGTAGAAAAGGAAGTAAAAAGACCAATATCTTTGCTCTAGGAAATTTCATAAAAATGGAGGGATTTGATGTGTACAAGTCTGGGTGTGCAGCATTGAACTCCTATCAGTCTGGAAGTAAAGTCACATTGTTGTGCCCAAGATTGCGAATCCGAGAAACCACCAAGGAGGCAACACCATGCAAACACACGAGGGTTTATTTACAAGCTGGAGCTTGGGTCCAAGTATACCCGACACAGCGGAGCAGGGACTTGGACCCCGAGACTAAGAGGCATAGCAGCTTTATAGGGGCCAGTGCCCATGGGATACACAGAAAGTTGCACAGTCATGTCAGTCCACACGCAGGTGGCCAATTGAATTACATCTTACCCTATAGTATCCATTTGAGCTGGCCTAGTACTTTGGTCAGAATTGGCGCGCAGTTTTGGCGGGCACAAAGCAGGGTTACATTGTTATGAGCCGATTTCCGATTAGGGTGTGCCCAGAGGCTTGACTAGGGTGGGGCAGCGCCTTAAGCAATAAGCAGGTTATGTGGGGGTCATACAGGAGGTGGCCGGTGTAGCACAAAATGGAATCAGTCCTGCTCTGCTTGTCCAGGGGTAGGAGATTTTTGTTGAATTTCCTGGGTCTCACAACATATTAGTGGCTTCAAAAGGAAGAAGTCTTAGTTGTTGGGTAGATTATATAACTGCTCCAAGACAATTCAGTGAAAGGGAAGTCAGGATAGGATTATTAGACAATATTCATATGGCACTATACATATGTGAGGTTCCTGTAAACTCTGACTTACTCAAAAGCCAAAATTGAAACAGTGCAGATGGCTTTCCATTCTCTGGTGATTAGTGAGGGTGATGATCACAGTACCCAAAAGGATTAAGTGGCTTGAGTGATGTCAGGACACACTAGGATCTTCTTCCAGTGACATGACTGGGCTTCTGTGCAGCACTGAGATCAGCAGGAATCCTGAGTGGATCCCTCAGGAAGAACATAGTGGCCACTCCTTGGAGAATCCGTGGGGCCTGAATGTCCTCAATGGGAATAGAGGAAGAGTTTCTGGGATGCTGTCCTGGCATTGTCATGGCCCCTGTTTATATAACAGAGGACCCAGTGGCCATGAGAGAGGCCTCCATAGCCTCTTCCCAAAGGCTCCATAGCCATTTCCACCTGATCCTGGCTTCAGATGGTTTACCAAGGTTCCTGCCACCATGAGAGGTTGAGGCTCCTTGGGAGATTTGTGTTCGGGGCTGTTACACTGCAGGGGTCCTGGCAGTCCTACTCACAGAGATATGTGTACAGTTTTTCTATCCTCCACTCCAGTGACTAGGAATGGAATTTTCCCAAATACACAACCACTGAGCTGGGCTGGGACCCCAAGGATCAAGGTGGAAATTTCATGGAAGAGGAGTTGAGGAGATTGCCTTGGTTTATGCTAGGGCACCTGTGGCCATGTGTTCACTGAAGAGTGGAAGGATGTCCTTCACCTTGCACAGCCAGGTGATATTTTCTCTTGAAGATGCAAAGATGAAAGCTGGGAATAGGGTCAGCAGAAGTGACCACTGGTTTCTAAATCAAGTGTGGAAGGAGGCTGACAGTCATTTTCTAATTGACAATGTCTTATGAAAACACTAAAGGCACTTGACTATTAGCTGGTAAATATAAAATGAATTTGATTTTTGAAATTTCATTATAATGTAAAATCAATAATCAAATTCTATACTATAGGAACCAGAAAAAGAAGGACAAACTAAAGCCCAAAGTTAGCAGAAGGGAGGAAATTAATGATATTGGAAAAGATATAAATAAATAATAAATAAATAAAATAAATTTAAAATACAGAGAAAATAAAATATACTAGAGTTTGGTTCTTTAAAAAGTCAGTAACATTGGCAAGTGTTTAGCTTGCCTAAGAAAAAAAGGGGACTCAAATTACTAAAATTGATTTGAAAATGCAGACATTACTACATTTTACAGAATTAAATGGATGGTAAGGGAGTGCTACAAACAATTGTATCTCCCTGCATTGAATTGTCCAGATGAAATGAACAAATTCCTAGAAACATACACCCTGACAAGAACCAACAATGGAGAAATAGGAAAACTGCAAAGGCATATAACTGGCATGGAGACTGACTCAGTTACCAAAAAATGAAACCTATCAAACACCAGCACATATTCCACTTGTATTTCTAAGACTGCCCCCCCCCCTTGTCTGGCTTTCCCACTGAATTTTAACTTCCAACTGTACACAAGGCAGGGAAGACCAGGATGAACTTCCGTTCAGCTCTTCCCTCTGTCCTGACTGGTGGCTCGGAGTTCACCCATTCTCCCTGATATGCATGGCATGCCTGGGTGATTTCAGCTGACATGCCATGAAAGATGGTGCTGGGGTGCAGCCGAGGCTCTCATGCTCCAGAACCCACAGCCTCAACCATCCCCTCGAGCTCCCCAGCATCTTCCTCTTACACTGACTGAGAGACTCTGCTGTGCCTGCTCCCCAGACAAACAACACGTGGGCAGCTGGGCCATGACACCTAGAGAGGTTTGTGTTGGGAGCTGAACCGCTGTGGGAGGATCATGTGTACTTTGCATGCAGTAATAAACTCCAACATCCTCAGCCTCCACCCTGCTGATCCTCAGGGCAAAATCTGTGCCAGACCCGCTGCCACTGAACCTGTCTGACACCCCAGTGAAACGGTTGGAAACCAAGTAGATCAGAAGCTGTGGAGACTGGCCTGGCTTTTGCAGGTACCAATACAAATAGGTGTTTCCATTAATGTGCTGGAGACTCTGACTGGCCCTGCAGGAGATGCAGGCCGGCTCTCCAGGGGTGACAGACAGGGACAGTGGGGTCTGTATCATCACAACCTCGCCATTGGATCCTAAAGTAAGAAGAGAGAAGCACAAGGTTATATGCAAACATTGTGAAAAATTATCGTAATTTTCCTTTTGCTCTTTATTTCAGACCAAAATACCTTTTAAGGGATTTTGATTCAAAACTCTAACTTTCCATTTTCAAAAAAAGAAACAGAGATTGGCAAGACATAAGGTGCCTTTGGAGGTCACATAAGCCATCTTATTCTTCGGTGCCAGGATGGTTCACCAGAGTACACATAGTTCCTTTTCCTTCAGGAATCTTCCTCTCTCACAGATCTAAAGGTCCCATTCAACATCCCAGAGGGCAACACATATCCATCTCACAGGCAAACAGAATTTTCCTGGGAAACAGTGTTGCCCTCAGAGTTCATCCTGTCAACCTCATTTTCCTTCCTCTTTGAGCACTCTGTTCTTACCTGGAAACCATAGCGTGAGGAGCCCCAGGAGCTGAGCAAGAAGCTTCATGTTGAGACAATGTTAAACTGATGAGTCCTGATAGGTCAAGACAAGTTGAGAGTTGATCTTTTATCTCAGACTTGCACGGGAAGGTCCTCCCTAGGGGACAATATGCAAATCCCCTGTGGGTGCAGCCAAATGGAAAGAGCCAGCAGGAGAGGAGTACGGCCTCTCATATGAGCAAAGTGTCATAAAAAATTTTCTATGTTTGGAACAAAACTAAAAGAGATACAATCCACGCTGCCTAACTGGGAGAAGGGACATATTTAAATGTTTCTTTCTGTTTCTTCTGCTAGATTTCTACCTCTTTAGCTTATTCTCAGGCATATTTTACACTTTTATTTTAAAAAATGGACCCTGAGTAGCCACAGCAATCTTCAGAAAGAAGAACAAAGCTGGAAGTATCACAATCCTAGATTGCAAACCATACTACAAAGCTATAGTAACCAAAACAGTATGGTCCTGGTACCAAAATAGACACACTGAACAGAATAGAGAGCTCAGACATAAACCTATGCTTATATAGTCAATTAATCCATGATAAAGGAGGCAAGGGTATACAATGGGTATGTCTCTTCAACAAATGGTGTCAAGATAACTAGACAGCAACACTTGAAAGAATGAATGTGAACCAATCTCTTACACCACAGGCAAAAATAAACTCAAAATTGATTAAAGACCTAAGTGTGAGACCAGAAACCATAAAATTCCTAGCAGAATTATCCTTAGCAAAGAACATTTTTCTAGCTATGTCTTCTCAGACAAGGGAAACAAAAGCAAAAATAAACTATTGGGATTATACCAAAATGGAAAGCTTTGCACAACAGAGGATACCATCAACAAAAGGAAATGTCAATCTACTAAATGAGAGAAGATATTTGTAAATGATACATCCAATAAGGGGTTAATATCCAAAATATATAAAGTACATTTACAACTCAACAAACAAAAACCAAATAATCTGATTAAAAGTGGACAGAGAACCTGAATAAACATTTTCCAAAGAAGATCTGGGATGGCCAACAGACACATAAAAGATGCCAACATCACGAATCATCAGGGGAATGCAAATTAAAACCACAGTGAGACATCCCCTTACACCTGCCAGAATGGTTAGCATCAAAAAGACAAGAAATAACAAGTGTTGGTGAGGATGCAGAGAAAAAGGATCCCTGTGCACTGGTGGTGGGAACGTAAATTGGTGCAACTACATTGGAGAACAGTATAGAGTTTAAACTGTATGGAGTCTCCTTAAAACGTCAAAAATAGGAATACCTTACAATCCAGGAATTCCACTTTGTGGTATTTATCCAAAGAAATGAAAACAATAATTTGAAAAGATAGTATGCAATCCTATGTTTACTGTAGCATTGTTTACAATAGCCAAATATAGAAGCTACCTAAGTTCCCTTCAATGAGTGAATGGATAAAGAAGAGGTGCTATATAGGTACAATGGAATGTTTCTCAGCCATAAGAAATCCTGCCATTTGTGACCACGTGGATGGACTTAGAGGGTATTCTGCTAAGTGAAATAAGTAGGACAGAGAAAGACAAGTGCCCTATGATTTCTTCTATGTTGAATCTAGAAAACAAAACAAATGGACAAACAACAAAATGTAGAACCCAAACTGATAAATACAGAGAACAAGCTAATGGCTGCCAGAGAGGAAGGAGGTGAGGAGATGATGGGAAAGATGGGTGAGGGGAAGGGGAGGCACAATTTTCCAGTTAGGGAATTAATTAGTCATGGGGATGAAAGTACAGCCCAGGCAATAGGGTCAATGGTATTGCTATAGCGTCCTATGGTGACAGATGGTAACTACACTGTGGTGAGCAGAATGTAACCTATAGAGTTATTGAATCGCTATGTTGTGCACCTGAAGCTGATGTAACATTGCATGTCAACTAGACTTTAAAACATAAGTACATAAAGAAAATAAACAGGAATTACAAATAGGTCAAGGAGGGAAAAGAGATGGACACTGTGGAACCATGCAGTAAGAACTCGTACTCTCTTCTTATATTAAAGCCTTTTGATTATATATTTCAACTTATTTTGAAATCATTTTAGACTTGCAAGAAATGTCAAAAGTATGAAGTTTGTTTCCATACCGGTTCTCCAGCTTTCCCCAATGGGAACAGCTTATATAACCTTACCATAATTATCTTAGCCAGAAGTCAACATTGATACAGTGCTATTAACTAATTTATAATCCATATTTGGATTCACTAATTTTTCCATTAAAGTGCTTTTTATGTCCTAGGATAAAATCTAAGAATCTATATTGCACTGCATTGTCTCCTTAGTTTCCTCTAATCTGCAATGATTATCTCATTTTTGTGTATCCTTCCAAACATAATCAAAGGAGCTACTTGTAACACTCTCCTTATTTAGCCATATGCTGACGTTATTGGAAATAGTCTATTTCTATTGGAGATTACCTGTGTTTGTCATAGGTTTTCAGATTTTAGTTATTTTCGTAGCTTGCAACCCAATAGGAAAGATGGAAGAAACAAATTATGTTTGCTCTAAGATGACAAATGTTTCTTTGATGGTCAATTACAACTTGGATGTTATTAGCCTGGAAAATGGAAAAGAGGAATAGGATTGATGAAAACATGGGACTTATGAAAAAATTGATTTATTAAAATGCCCACCAATGCACAGCTGCTATTGTGTCAATTATTCAGATAAATGAACAGAATTTTCTACCACTTAACGTGCTTCAGAAGTAAAAGGGAAAAAAGTTCAGTTACCTAATTCACTGAGCTACTCACAACTAGGAAGATTGAGTCACCAGTCTCAGGCTAGGACTGATGCATCTTAGGAGTCACAGAGTTAGGACACTATTTCTGAAAATCTCACTTGAAGACTATGTAACCATATCTCTATTGCACTTATTTCAGTAACTAGATGATTTCCCAAGTTTTTAATTTCTGATCTAATCAAAGACTGTGTCTTTTGATTACTGTGCAAGGCAAAAATGAAGAGAGGATGCAGATGTTGTGTATATAAGAGAGGAGAGCAGAGAAGGGCCAACCAGATTTACTGGATATAGTGTGTCTGACTTGGGCTTTCAGGGAAAAAAAAAAGTGTTCCTGAGACAGAGAGGCCTGTGCTCTTGGAGCTCTGGGGATGAGATGGTGGGCCATTCCTTCAGGGCTCAGCACTGCCCAGTGCCAAGGGGAAAAGAGTCAACATGGAGCCATCAGTGAGCTACCTCAGCCACACTGTCCCAGACACTGGTCATTTAAAGAAGATATGCAGACTCCTGGAATGGTCCAATCATGGGGTCAGGTGACCAGGCCACAGTTTGGGAGTGAATAACATGGGGATCCCTTCACACTCAGAGGTTTCCAGCATGTCATGGAGGATCAATCTTGGAAGAGAAATAAGCCACAAGGTGGTGATTTTTAATTTGGACTTGAGAAATGTCTCTTCTGCCCAATTTTCCATCTTGACCATAGCTACTGGTTTCATCTAAGCAAAGCCCTATTGGTCATTAACAGGCTGTATGCCAGTTCTGAAGTACTGGGAAATCAGACTTTGCTAACTCTGTCTCTGGAACCAATGGTGATTGCAGATGTGAGCAAGTGTGAGTCTGGCCAATGGGTTCCCAAAGCCATGGCCGCGGGCCTGCGAGAGCCTGCATTCTTCCCACTTTGTCACACCTGGATGAGGAGCACCTTGCATGGTGTCCTCCTGATGGCCCCTCAGTGACTAGTCTACATTTTTTTGCCTTTACCAGAGGGACCTCCCACTGTAAGTCCTTCTAACATGTGTTTTCTGTAGGGGTCATTTCCCCAGAGTTACACTCTGCCTGCAGCAGTATTTGATGGAGGGAACTCATTTCCAGCTAAATCAAGTACATCATTTGGAGTCTTCCCTAAGTGCTCTTTTCCCTGTGGCCACGGAGTCTGATGGAAAGATGGGCCACAGAAAGAAGTGTGAAATTATCTTAGCTGAAAAGGGGAAGCTTTGAGATCTAATCATAAGTGGTAACAAGAAATCATAATAACATCTAAAATCAGTCTGGGCCCTTGGCCATTATTGCCAGACAACTGTGCACTCTCTTTTGGCCACACGAAGGGAGACACCCTGAGGTTTTTTTCTTTTAAAGATTTTATGTATTTATTCATGAGGGAGGGAGAGAGAGAGAAAGAGAGGCAGAGACACAGGCAGAGGGAGAAGCAGTCTCCATGCAGGGAGCCCGACGTGGGACTCGATCCCAAGTCCCCAGGATCATGCCCTGGACCAAAGGCGGCGCTAAACCGCTGAGCCACCGGGGCTGCCCTTGTTTTCTGTTCTTGATGTCATTTCTAGGATAAAGTGAACTTCCCTCTTGTACATTTTCAAACATATCTTGTTTCTGATGCTTGTAATAAATGACAATTGCTTTCCAGGTTCTATGGTGGGGTGTGGCCACATGAGCTAGTGATACATAGTTTTCACTTAGATGTCAACAGTTCCTGCATTGCAATTTCCCCATTATGTTGGGATCCAAAAGCTGCAGAATCCACCCAAGGTTTTGCTGTCCAACACATTAGCAGCAGAGTGACTGTAGAGTCATATATACTCCACAGCAATTCAACTCATCTGTGTATACATCACATTTTATTTCACTCTCTCAGTGGTGATGTCTGGGGTCATTTCTCTCTTTTCGGAACCACTGGCTCCCCCAGTTCCCTGGGAAGTACTGGGATCACAGGGTGACAGCTACATAGGAAAACTGGACTTCTGGTTCTCAGTTCTTATTGGATCTCAGCTTCACTCTATTCAGTGATCTCAGCTGGGCAGGGTGGTGACTGCCAAATGATTATGGAGAGAGGGGACACCTTCTTCTATCCTCTCTAAATTGATTACATCTGGTATTTTTAAGCATGTTCAAGCCAACATATGCAAATTTCAAACTGTTGTCCCAAATCTACATTGAGTAGAGTCTGAAGGGTGAGAGCAGCGCCTTTCTTTGCTCCTTTGCTCCCGGGTTCCACACAGGTGATGAGCCTG